CTTTCTCCCAAAGGGCTAACCTTATGTATGAACAGTCATATATATTCACATTCTACATTGTGTAGTACAGACTAATAATGTTACAGAAATACAATTGGGATTAATTAGCAAATGCTTCCTTTGGAGCTAAGACTCGATTAAAGTATATAACATTTGGAGATTTGGGGAAGTTTGGGTAGAACAGCAAGAACAAAGAGTTAGGGGTGAAGGTGATCTTGTCTGCTCTAAAGGTGAGTCTCACTAAAACCAGAGTTGTTAGAGGGGTAAGGCTTTTATCAAGGACCCTGCTAGTCAGGTTAAAGAGCCACTCCCTAATATGCAGCAGGGAGCTACTGTTAATACTTTGAAGAAGCTGGGGTTTGGTGCTGAAATACTTGTTACTGGCTCTTTTGGAGGGTGGTTCTGATTTAGGCCATTAGGTTATTTTGAAAGGTAGTTATTTTAAGCTAAAGCCTTAACCATTTTATTTATTTAATTTTTAAAAATTATAAATTTTTTCCTTTTTTTAAATTTTAAGCTTTAGGCATTTTAAGTGAGTTGAGTGAAACAGTTAAGTAGCACCATATAAATGTCACTGTGAATTTCTTTAAAATATCATCTATATTCTAGATTTCAGAAATACAGAGGCCTTAAGAGCTTCCGGACATCTCCTTGGGATCCTAAGGAAAACCTCCCTCGAGATTATGCTCGGATCTTTCAGTTTCAGAACTTTATTAATACCCGGAGACGCATCTTTAAAGAGATTGAAGAAGAAGTTGAAGGAGCTGAGGTATCTGCTTTCCTTTGTCCATCCCTATAATTTGCTTATTTGCAAGGTCGTGTCTGTCCCCCCTCCCCCTACTCACTCTCTTGGCATGAGTACCTTAATGAGTTTTATGCTGCCTTCAGCTGACTTAGAGAAGCTACCGAGTTACTGATCAGAGTGATACTGGGAACAAAGAGGTGTCAGAGATGTTAACTGGGAAAGCTTAATCTGGGTAGTTGAGGCAACTGTGCAAGGCAGTCTTGGAGGGTGAGCACTGGCCTTATCAATGTCTGGGAGACTGTTAACATAGTTGGAGAAATGCTTCGTCATTATTGAGACCATAAGAGTAACTGCATGATCGTATTCTGCTTTCTCCCAAAGGTTGGCTGGTATGTCACACTTCATGTCTCTGAAGTCCCTGTCTCCGTGGTTGAGCACTTCAAGCGAGGCACACCCTTGATTGCATTTTCGTTACTACCTCATGAACAGAAGGTGAGTTAGTGTCTTGTGGGAAATGGGAGTTATGACACTTTGCAACCAGTTTTATATGACAGCCTAATGTTTTATGTGGCTGATGTTTTGCTCCTTGGGATGTGAAAGTCTGCCTTTATGATGAGGAGTCAGGAGAGGATGACAGAGAAGTCGATGATGGTTTTACCTAATATGTCTGAACCTGTCTGATGCATCTCAGTGATGTCATCTCTGTATGGTTCTGAGACTTCTCTGACGTAAGTATGTTTGTCAGATCAGACTTTAGTCAAGGATTGGCATCCATAAAAATAAGGAGGGCTTCTGCCAAGGTATGGTCTTCCCTTGTGGCTCAGCTGGTAAAGAATCCATCTGCAATGTGGGAGACCTGGGCTCGATCCCTGGGTTGGGAATATCCCCTGGAGAAGGGAAAGGCTGCCCACTCCAGTATTCTGGCCTGGAGAATTCCTTGGACTGTATAGTCCATGGGGTCACAAAGAGTTGGACGACTGAGCAACTTTCACTTTCATGCCAAGGTATAGATCTTTTTTCTCTTGGTGGCCAGCAGTCATATAAGTTGGGGTGTAAGAGAGCTCTGCCCTTTGGTCAATGTGAGTAATGGTTGAAGCAAGAAGGGTCTTAAATGAGTGTGGTTTGGCTGTGTGTGGTTAGTGAGTGACTTGTAGTCATTGATTTTGTGGTAGATGTTGAACCCTTGCATGTTACACATGGGACGGTCAACCAGTATAGCAGGGACATGAAAGTTCTGAAAGTCAGCCTATTTTCAGTTTGAACGCTAGTTATTAGTGAAGGTAAAAGATGGATTTGTGTTTCATCATTTATACTATACCATAAATTAGTATAGGGCTTCCCAGGTGGCTCAGCAGTAAAGAATCTGTCTACAGTGTAGGAGATGCAGGTTCAGTCCCTGGGTCGGGAAGATCCCCTGGAGAAGGAAATGGCAATCCACTCCAGGATTCTTGCCTGGAAAATCCCATGGACAGAGGAGCCTGGCAGGCTACAGTTCATGGAGTCACAAAAAGAGTTGGACACAACTTAGTGACTAAACAATCACATAAATTAGTATTGTCAGCTCTTAGGGTGAACCCAGTCTGCTGGTTTGGTTTGCCTTCTTTTACTTTAGAGTGTTCTATTTCTGATAAGTTCTGTTTCTCTACTTGGTCCCCAGATGTCAGTACTTAATATGGTGGTGAGCCGGCACCCTGGCAACACTGAACCTGTGAAAGCTAAAGAGGAGCTGATCTTCCACTGTGGATTCAGGCGCTTCCGAGCCTCACCTTTATTCTCTCAGCACACTGCAGGTAAGCATCAGGGAAGTTTCTGGGGTTTTGTCCATCTTACTGTCTTTTAGGGGACTTTGATTTTGCAGCAGGGGGTGGGAGTATGGGGATGGGGTGTGCAGAATACACCATTTCAAGCTCTGGTTTAGGCGCCAATGATGTTTCCATTCAAAATGTCTGAACCTGTCTGAAGCATCCCAGTGATGCAACCTCTATGTGGTGCTGAGGCTCCTCTACCATGAGTATTTGCTGCAGAGTCAGTGTTGAATAGGGGTCAGCAACTTTCAAGAAATGACGTGTCATGGAACCCTTGGCATCTGATGTCCCAGTGGGTGAAGTCTAGGGGGTAGCCCACAGTTGGATAAAGCAGAGGTGTATGGCTTCTGAGATCTTGAGATGAGATGAGGTTTTGGACAGTGATGACCAGGGATACTCCTATGACAAAAAATGATTGTCCTCTTACAGTCTTTAGAGTGGGAAGATACTTGGCAGTATGTCAGGGCTTCTGAACGTTACCCACATGCTCAGCCCCCAGCAGTGGCCAGAGGAAGGTGAAAAAAGGCAGTATTAATGGATGCTCTGGATAATTTCTTTGCTCACCAACCATGCTGTCTAAATGAAGGATTGATATTGCCCTTAAAATATTTTATAACTTTCAGTATTAATTTAAAATAATGTATTGTCTGTAGCTGTTTTTGTGCTTTAGTGAGAATTGAGTAATTATAAGAGAGACTCTATGGCCACAGAGCCTAAAATACTTACTCTGATTATAGAAGATGTTTGCCAATCCTTGTTCAAGACTAAGAGCTGTTGAATTAGTGGAGTGTTTTTCTGTAAAGCGCCGATTCTCAAATGAGGTAGGGTGATATGTATCAGGATCATCTGGAGAACTTTTTCAAACCCCCAAATACAGTTCAAGCTCCAAGACTCTGCCTCCTACTTGAAAAATCACTCTGCTAGGATAGGGTTGTATTTTTCAGTTGTACAGAGGCCAGAAAATGTTTGGAGAAGTAGTAGGATAAAGAAACATTAGCTGCCTTAGTTCCAGTGATACAGCTTTTCACAGGCCTCTGGATTACCTATTGTTTGTCAAAATATGTCCTGGTTTTTATTCTTTTAATGGCAGCGGATAAACATAAACTTCAGAGGTTCCTGACTGCAGACACAGCCCTGGTGGTGACGGTATATGCCCCGATCACTTTTCCTCCTGCGTCTGTGCTGCTTTTCAAACAGAACAGCAATGGTAAGTTGAGTTCACAGAAGTGAATAGGCCTGTGGGTCCTTAATAAGACTAATTGCTTTCTGTATTTAAATTGGGAGTCAAATGGTAACAAAAAAGGTAATGATGTTTTTTAAATTATCCCAATTTCAGGATGACAAATGGGGTTTTTATCTTGCTTGCAAACCTTAGCTAATTGGTGGAGGCTGCTCAGGGTGCTCTTTTTAGGGCAGGTTCTGAGGACAGGCTCAGCAGGAATATCAGTGATCTTGGCCACGAACCCAGGAGGGGCCACATAGTACATCCCCACTGGGTCTCCCCAAGCTCTCATAGATCTTTAAATAAACTGGACAATAAGTGAAGGCTTTGACCAGAAGCCTCCTGCTGCTCTGCTTTTGCCCCTCAGGAATGCACAGCCTCATTGCCACAGGCCATCTCTTGTCAGTGGATCCAGACAGGATGGTCATCAAGAGAGTTGTTCTGAGTGGTCATCCTTTCAAAATTTTTACTAAGACGGCAGTGGTGCGTTACATGTTTTTCAACAGAGGTAGGTGTGACAGGGGATCCAGTTGCCTTTGTGGGATGAAGGTTGGGTTTATACATTATGGATAGGTGTTTCATTCTGGTCTTCTGTGTGTTTCTTTATCTAAGAGGATGTACTGTGGTTTAAACCTGTGGAACTGAGAACAAAATGGGGCCGCAGGGGCCACATCAAGGAGCCTTTAGGTAAGAAAATGTGTGATTTGGGAGCTTGTGTAGACTTCCTCAGTGCTGTTAAATGACCATTGGATTAGGAGACCACTGCTTTAAAGTTTTCTATTAATATGACCAACTCATTCTGTTTGCATTCTAGGTACTCACGGTCACATGAAGTGCAATTTTGATGGGAAGCTAAAATCTCAGGACACAGTACTGATGAATCTTTATAAGAGAGTTTTCCCCAAGTGGACTTATGATCCATATGTACCAGAACCAGTCCCCTGGGTGAAAAGTGAGATTTCTTCAACAGTGCCTGAAATGGACATGGAGTAATGGATTCAGTGGGATTCTGTCTCACTGCTACTAGTGCGAACTCTAGGGATGGGAGCCTGTAGGTTGTGGTTGCCCAGTTTGTGCTTTCTACTTAAGCCTACTTAAGGGATCCTGCTCCTTCGTGCGGAAGACTTTTCTTGGCCTTGAGAAGGTGTCTCAGTTAAGTATGGATGATTTTATAGTTCAACTTAGTCCAAAAAAAACCATTAAATCTTACTGAAATACACATTCTCCATTAGGGTTTTGAAGGCTGTTTTAGAGGGGATAATAGGAAGTTGACAATGACCAGGAGACAAAATTTCCAAGTGTCTAGACACTTGAGTCCCTTTTCCTCCTTTTGCACATTTTAAACAGAAACAGATTGCTAAGGAGCTGCCTTTTCATCCTGCTTCTTCACCCAAGTTAGGGAGGTTAAGTCTACATTTCCACCACTGAGCACAATACAGATGTTCTTTACTTCTGCGGGAACTGTTTGAAAATGCTGAGACAGCACAGCGGCCACTCCAACACCAGCTGTAGGTTCAATAAGCAATTTCATCCTCTCCCACACCAGCTGGGTTGCATACTGTCGGTATAGAAGGGAGTAAGAATTAGTGACATGGGAAAGGGGGTAAGGAGCCGAGTTGGTTGGCCTCTATGATTAAAGGCCAAATGGGGGTGTATGCCCAGTCTGAGTTTTCCTGTTTGTGATATGTTTGTGTTTGCCGGTGAAGGGCAGGGCTTTTTTCATTCTAACTTGCTTTACTGTCTTGACACTCATCTAGAGCACCCTCTCACATGTTACGAAATCACCTAGTCAAGTTCCCTTGTGGGTTAGTTGCCATTTACAACAGGAGGGTTTTTGCCTAAGAAGTTGCTCCATTCTTTTGTTTTCTTTCCTCTTGAAGCCTCACCTTAATTTCATCCTCTGTGACAGTAAAGACATCATCCACGAGGTCCCTTATAATAGGCCAGGTGTTTAAGCCAATGCTGGATTTGATACCATCTGCTATGGTTTCCGGAGGATAGGGGTTGGGGGTCAGTTCCCCTTTCAGTTTGGACTGGTAGCAGTCATCTGCATTCAAGGGTTCAGCAGCATATACCTTCACACTAGGTCTCAGAGCCTAGAAAGAGGAATATTAGATACCTTACAACTAGCCACAGCATTTTGCCCACATGTTTGCAGTAAAACAGATGGTACAGTTAACACATTTCTGCCCAAGAACCTTTCTTTTAATCTATGTAATGGAAATAAGGCCTTTAAGCAGTTTAAATTGTTTTCTACTGGCCTTCAGTTGCCTGGATCACAGCTGGTTCTGCTGGTGACTTGGGAAAGGGGTAGCTCCTGACCTGGATAGTAAGTTGGTGAGATGGAATTCAAAGGACTGTGAGGGTGCCACTCATTGTAATGGCTTTTATGCTGTAAAGTTTTCATTAAGAAAAGGGTAGTGATGCAGAGAAGTGCCAGGCGATAATAAGAAGGAATGGCAGTGTGGGGGGAATGTTGAGCAAGTATTCACAATGTACTATAATACAAAATAAACTTCTGTGCCTGAAGTGGGGAGTCCTCCAGAAGCTGTTTTCTCACCTTCACTGTAATGGCTATTCCAGCAAGCATTCCTCCTCCTCCTACAGGTACCACCAGTGCATCTACCAAGGGAACCTGCAGCGAAAAGAATATAAAGTATTAAAATAGGTGTGTGTTAATAACCAGTTTTATATGTACATAGGAAAGAACTGGTTCTGTGGCCAAACGTCAGCATTCCTGGCAGCTGAGCAGCTAAGCTGTTACCTGGTGTAGCACTTCCATGGCAATTGTCCCTTGCCCGGCTATCACTGCAGGCTCCTGGTTGGGATGTACCATAATGCCTTCTGTTTCTTCCACAATTCTTTTTGTCATATTTTCTCTGGACTGAAAGAGGACATTATTTTAGCTTACTTTATCTGTATTTAATAGAGTCCCCAACAAGTTAGATTCGGTCGTTTAACACTTCATTGGCTGGCTGCTTTTCTCACACTTGGTTCTGGCACTGAGGATGTGACTGAACAGAGCAGCCCCTGCACTCAGTGGAGTTGCATTCTAATATGATGGGATAGGGTGGGGTATAAGTAAATACATGCCTTGGAGAACAATGCATTTGAACAAGTCCTGTGTGTCTCCACAGAATATTCCAGGGAGAGAGGAACAGCAAGTACAAAGACCACAGAATAGGAGTGCTTGGCTTTGAGAAACTAAGTGTGGTTGGTGTGGAGTGTTGGGGGGAAAGTAACAGTGGAAAGTGAGATCAGAAAAGTAGTAATGGGCCAGTTCATCTGGGCCACAAGTGATGGCAAGAATTTTTGTTTCTGGGACTTCCCTGGTAGTCCAGTGGCTAAAACTCCATGCTCCCAGTGCAGGGGACCAGGTTTCCATCCCTGGTCAGGGAACTAGATCCCACATGCTGCAACTAAGAGTTTGCATACTGTAACTAAAGATCCCACATGCCATAACAAAGATCAAACATCCTGCATGCCATAACTGAGACCCATCTCAGCCAAATATTGAAAAAATAACAATTTCTTAAGTTTGTTAAACAAGTCTGGGCTAAGAGCAAAGGTCAGGACTGGAGTTAGAAGTTTTAAACTAGGAGACCATGAGTAGATCATCTGAGTGATGGGCATGCCAACATTTAAAAAGGAAACAACAAAGGAGACTGGAAGCTGCGCCCAGTGAGGTAAAAGGTTTCATGTGACCATGAACCCTGGGTGGTGGTGCTGAAGATTCTCTCCCTTACCTCTTCACTCTGTTCACCGTATACAATAGAGGCTCCATAGGCTTGTATTGCCAGTTTTTTACAGTTGGGAGCTGTTTCTGGCACTATGATATAAGCAGGAATCCCTGGGAGGGAGAAACAATGTTTAGTTAGTACAAATCAGAATTTAGGATAGAAACCTCTGTTCAGTTCGCTTGTAATCAGGGGCTGGGAAATTTATTTCCATGGCTATCACCAATCTCACTGAAAGTTAAGGATACTTTTCCACTCCTCTGATGATCCTACCCAGGACTCTGGGAAGTTAATCAAGTACCTTCTAATCTGGCAGCAAAGGAGAGAGCTTGGCCATGGTTTCCACTGCTGTGAGTAACAACAGCTCTGGGCTTCTCTTCTGGATGGGCAGAAATCAAGCTTCTGATTGCATTAAGGGCACCACGAATCTGGAAAAGAGGGATGGTGAATTAATCCATTTGTTTAAAATGTTTCTTTTCAAAAAATCTACCAGCTTTAGATTTTTCTCTTCCAACACTGCACACCCAGTAAATCGTCTTGGTTTGTACCTCCTAAATATCTCATGTTCATCTTGGCTACTACCTCGGTGAGGCTTAATTTCTCAACTGGGAGTTACTGAATCTCAGCTGATCCTGCCTCAAGGATCATTCTCATCTAATAGTTCTGCTAGATTATGAAAGTTACCCTTTAAAAACAAATGTTAACCTTTTTCATTGACTGCCTATCTTTGTAAGAAAAGTATAAATTCTTTAAAAGCTGCAGCCTTTCTAACATAGCTAATATGTTACTTTCTAACATGTCAGTGTCCTAGCCATCTTAAGTTGCTGCTAGTTTCCTATCAGGTTAGCTCACACGTCTACTTGACATGTTGATGCCTCTACCTGTAGTTCTTTCCCTCACTCCCTGATCTGGCTAAAAGTATCATCCTATAAAACTTGGATCAAACATCACCTGGTTCAACCTTCTTGCTCTCCCAGGCAAAATTAGGTACTCCGTTGGCTTCCATGTTCCTTGTGTGTATCTTTATATCTTTTTATTTGGACTGTGCTGCATGGCTTGCAGGATCTTAGTTCCTCAACCAGGTATCCAGCCTGGGCCTTTGGCAGGGAAAGCACAGAGTCCTAACCACTGGATGGCTGGGAATTCTCTGTATCTCTGTAAGACACTTGTCATCAACCTACTTTTGTCTTCCCCTGAAAGTATGAGTATAGGGCAAGGCCTCCAGTACATACACCTGGTATAGTTAGTGAAAATATGTGCTTGATGTATGACAAATGAAGAACAAACTGTGACAGAAGCAAAGGGCAAAAGAAAATAGAGAAGTTTTTGTATTATTTAAAAGTTCTCAGTTAATGGGTGCTGAAAAAAGGTAAATACATGATATCCTAAAGCTACCACTTAACAGGTACTAATACTTCTCAGGCACAGTCCAAAATGTAGCTTTCAGATTTTTACTTGAATGAATCTTGAAGTTCATTCTAATGAATGAAGTTCAATTAATGGTCAGAAAATTCTGATAATGAGGAAACACAAAAACCTATTTTTATGCAAAGGAGAGACCCTAACATATATCACAGAAAAAGAAAAAGGTTTTTTGTTACATTAGGGCTGAGCTAGGTTTAGACCTTTTTTATTCATAATGTATAAACACATAGCAAGTGAATGCTTAAACTTGGCTATATACAGTGTGATCACATATGTCGTGTTGCAAAGTCATGTTGCAAGGCGTTGGACACGACTCAACACCATAGGTGTCCAAGTTGACAACTGTGCTGTCTGTTCTATCATTAGAAGTTCCCCTTTTCATCCCCAAACATGTCCTAATTTGGACAGTAAGCTGTATGTGATCACCTTAATTATAAGGAATTTTGAGATAGTGTAAAAGTGGCTCTCCAGAACACCATGATGCTAAGTAACCAGGACTTAAGCAAAGGAAAATTTTGACAACCCTTTCTTTAGCTATTAAAAAAAAAAAGACATTAACTCTACCTACCTCACTGGGTGGTCAGGAGGATCATACACATTTACGTGAAAGTGGTTTGAAAAGAATGGTGTACTATCAAAAAGGATTATTACCTTAAAAGATCCAGTTTTCTGGAAGAGTTCACATTTGAAGAAAAGATTGCGTCCTGTTATTTGATTCAAAAGGGAACTTGTTAGTACTGGTGTGATGTGGATAAAATCGCGAATGTTGATATGAGCTTTTTCAACATCAGCAAAGGAGATGCAGTATGGATCACACATGGTTCTGTAAGCCAAAAATAAGAAGGGGGTCAAAGCAAGCCTAGACGATACGTTTTAATGAAAAGATTTTGAAAACACACAACAGACCCGTGGAATGTACATCCCCAAGAGTGAACCATAATGTAAACTATGGACTTTAGTGGTAATGGTATATCAATGCAGGTTCAACTGTAACAAATACATCACTCTGGTGGGCGATGTCGATAATGAGGGAGGCTATACATGTGTGTGGGCAAGGGGCATATGGCAAATTTCTGTACCACCTTAGCAGTTTTGCTGTGAATCTTAAGTTCAAAAAACTAACACTCAAAACAACAAAGAAAATGCATAACATTGGAAAATAGATTCAGCCTGTGGTATTAATGTGGGAACCATCTTCATTACTGGGGTTCCAGAATTTCTGCATAAGGGACCATCTCTTGAAGCTGAGTTTTTTGGTGTATAAGTTTCTTCTGTTGAAGCTTTATAGGAAATAAAGTTGATTCCTGGTGATTCTGGAAGGCTTAAAGCTCAGCCCTCACCTATACCATCCATCTGTTGCTACTGCCACTGGTCTCTACTTTTTCATCATTGTTGTGAAACGTAAACTGGTTTCAAAATCTGCTACAATTTTTATTTTTAAAAATATTTCACAATTTATCAAGGGGAAAAATCACCTACAATCCTACCATCTTAATAAATTCACTTTCTATGTTTCCTTCTTTTTTTTTTCAATATGCATGTAACAGTTAAAATCAAAGATAGTATTTCATCTACTCTTTTTCCATTTGGTTCAGTTTCTTCAAAGTTTTCCTAATTATAATTTCCAGTAACTGCATTAAGCTTCCACTTTTCACTATTTTTATTGTGATTCTCTTTATTTTTCCATATTAACAGGTAATGCATATTCAATGGAAAGAATTTAATTTGCTTCCTCTCCAAAGACAGTTGCTACTGAAGTTCTGGTGTCTCTCTGTCCAGGCCCATATATATATATGCAGACAAAACTTCTTTGACAGGTTTGGTAACTTGCTTTTTTCAGACAGTATTATGAATATGAACCTTAGCTTATCAATCGATATTTTATATGACTTTTTAAAAAAGTTTAAAAAATTTTTATTTTTTGGCTGTGCTAGGTCTTTGTTGCTGCACAGACTTCTCTAATTGCACGGAGCGGAGGCTACTCTCTAGTTGAGGTATATGGGCTTCTCATTGCTGTGGCTTCTCTTGTTTTGGAGCACAGGCTCTAGGGCACACAGGTTTCAGTAGCTGTGGCACATGGGCTTAGTTGTTCCATGGCATGTGGGATCTTCCCTCACTGGGGATCAAACTCATGTCTCCTGCATTGGCAGGTGGTTTCTTTACCACTGAGACACCAGCCCTTTTATGACTTTTTAAATCCCTAGTACTTTTTACAAAAATACCATCAGTTTTACATAACTGTTGAACATTTTAAGTTTTCCTCTTTTTTTGCTATAATGATGATGTAATGAACAGACTTGTTGCAAGATCTTTATACATGGTTTGAGTAGATTCCACCAGTGGCATTTTGCATTTTTTAATGCATACATACTCCTAAGGCATTTGACACCCACTGCCAAACTGATCAGAAGAGTTGTAGATTATGTCAATTTATATCCCATCATCACTTTCTGAGGAATGACTATTTTCCTTTACACTTATTATTTTTATCTGTCAATTTACTGAAATATGTCTAGTAGTTTAGATTTAATTACTAGTGACTGAACATTTTTTTCTGTATATTGGCCACTTAATTCTTTTGTGAATCTTTATACTGAATCATCATTTTCCTATGAAATATACATTTATAAAAAATTAAATTTCTATTAATGCTTGGGGCTTTTCTGGATTTTGTTCCATTGATTAGACTGCCAATTCCTTTAATAGTATTAATATATTCTTCCCTTTCTAAAATTTCTAAAATTTATTGGCTTTTCTCATATATCAGTTCTTCCAAAAGAACTTTAGAAATCCTTTACCAAGGTTGCCAGAAATTCCATTGTACAATGTACAAATGAATTGGAGGCATAACTAATATTTGAAAATGTTGAACCTCCTCATCCATTAACAATGGATGTCTTTTAATTTAGTAAAGTCCTTTTGTTTTAGGTTTCTTAGTAAAGTTGTCATAATTCACTCCTTGTATAGACCTGATTAAATTTATGTCTAAGTGCAACATACTTCTGTTGCTTTTGAGAGAAGGCATTTTTTAATTTTTAAACTGCTTACTGATGATGTATATGAAAACAATTTTTATCATGTAATTCAATACTTTATCAGATTATCTTGTTAAATAGTTTTACAGTTTATTCTTTAAACAATCATGCCATCTGCAAATAATTTGCCTTTACCTTATAAACATACCTCCGGTAACCTTTCAGTGACTTCATAGTTACTGGTTTATATGGATTTGCCATTGCCTCTTGAATTAATTTCAGTAATTTTATTGGTAAAATCACAATTTAAAATTTATTAGTATAAAGTTGTACATATTAATATTTCTAAGTTTTTTGTTATCTGTCATATTCCTTCAACAAATATTGAGCACCTTCTATGTGTTTGACTGGGGATACAGTATTAGAAAAGTAGACTTGTTCCTCTTCCCATAAAGATTACAATGTATTGGTCAGGTGTCCTAATAATCCAATTAAAATATATTTGCCAACACTGATGTGTTAACTTAGGGAGGTGTATTAGGATAGTATATAGAAAGGCTTTATTTTAGATACGTGAAGGAGGTCAATGAAGACCATCTATGTAGAAGTGAATTTTTATTTTTCTGTGAATAATTAGCTTTTTTTTTTGAGAAGTAAAATTAAATTATGACCTATAAGATGAATGGGCAGAGTAGTGGGGAAAGTGTTTCAGGTAGAGGGAATAATAATAATGTGTGAAGGCTTTAAGGAGGGAAAGAGCTTGGCATTTTCCAGGAACTAAAGGATCAATGTATCTGAAAATGTGATCAATGGGAAATGTAAGAGATAAGGAAAGTGAAGTTGGCAGAGTCTAGATCATAAGGGACCATGACTCATGGAATTTTTTTTAAGAGTAATAAAATGCCATTGGACTTATGATTACCAGGGAGGAAAAGGAGGAGGGATAAATTGGGAGGTTGGGATGGACATATACACACTACTATATATAAACTAGGTAACTAATAAGGACCTCTACTATATAGCACAGAGAACTCTATTCAATACTCTATAATGACCTATATGGGAAAAGAATGTAAGAGTGGATATACTTTATGTATAACAGATTCACTTTGCTGTACAACAGAAACACAACATTGTAAATCCACTATTCTCTGAAAAAAATGTCATTGAAGACTTTTGAGCAGGTGACATGTAAGAATTCATATTTACAAAAAAATCATTTGTTACACTGTGATGAATGAAAAGGAAAGAGGTAAGAGTTGGAATCAGGGAATCCAGTTATGAAATATTACAGTTGTCCACATGAAAGACAACAGGGACTTTGATGGTGAAAGTGGAGGCAGAGAAAAATAATCATTCATGATACATTTTGGAAAAAACAACTGAAAAATGGGCGAAGGACTTGAATAGACATTTCTCCAAAAAAGATATACAAATGGCCAACAAACACATGAAAAGATGCTCAACATTATTAATCATTAGAGAAATGCAAACCAAAACCACAATGAGATACTACCTTATGCCTGCCAGGATAGCTACTATTAAAAAAAAAAACCCAAATGGGAAAATAACAGGTGTTGGCAGGATCTAGAAAAACTGGAGTCCTTGTGCACTGTTGGTAGAAATGTAAAATGGTGCAGCGGCTATGGAAAACATTATGGTAGTTCCCCCCAAAATTAAAAGAATTACCATATGACTCAGCAATTCTACTTCTGGGTATATACCCAAAAGAATTCAATGAGGGTCTCAAAGACATATCTGTACACCTGTGTTCACAGTATTATTTGCAATGGCCAAAAGGTGGAAGCATCCCAGTATTCATCAACAGATGGATAAACAAAATGTGGTATAAACACACAGTGAAATGTTATTCAGCATTAAAAAAGGAGATTCTGACTTGTGCTAGAATATGGATGGATCTTGGGGATATATGCTAATTGAAATGTCAATCAGAAAAAGACAAATACCATATGGTTACATGTATGTGAGGTACCTACAGTAGTCACATTCATAGACAGAAAAGAGAATGGTGGTTGTAAGAGGCTGTGGGGAGGACAGGGGGATGGGAAACTGTTCAACGGGTACAGTTTCAGTTTTGCAAGATGAAAAGAGTTCTGGAGATTGGTTGTACAACAATGTGAATGTACTTAACACTAGTGAACTGTACACTTAAAAATGGTCATGATGGCATATTTCATGTTACATGTATTTCACAATTAAACACACACACACATACATTTTGGAGATTATAATTAGTTAGACTTCTTGGTTACAAGTGATAGAACCCCAATCTGAATCTGGCGTAGGCACAAGATGGAGGCGATGAGAATTTATTGGCTCATGGAATCCAGAGAAGTTGAACCATGGAAAGGGCAGGAATATGGAGCATTAGGAACAAGTGGAACCAGGGACTTGGAGGTTTTCCAAGACTTTCTGTTTCTCACCTCTGCTGCTTTCTGCATGTCGGCTTCATTCTTTTCACTGCAGACCAGCTGGTTCCACATGGCAGGACACATGGCTGCTGACAGCTCCTGTGTTTTGCATTTTATGGCTTCCACACTGGAGGGGGTTTTCTTTTTTTCTTAGTTTCAGTTAAAAAAGTTCTGGGTAGGGACTCTGGTTGGCCCATCTTGGCCCAGGACCAGTGGCCAAGAGTATGAGGTCATTTAAGACAATACCATGCAATAGTTAGAAGTATATACAGAAACATGAAAAAGAAACAATGATTTCTAGAACACAATATCAAATACGTATGTTTAAAATACATAGATACACAAAACAATATTATATATTATTCAAAGATACATGTATTTTCAAAGGACATATATCAAACACATTAGAGTGGCTTCTGAAGAGGGAAGGAACATGAGTGGGAACTGGAATGTAGGAAAAAAGAGAAAGGCGTTGCTGACAATGTGAACCAAACAGTATGACTGCCTGAAATCTCTACACCGGAGGGAAAAATAGGAGCAAAGGGAAGGAGTAAAAGAGAAAGAAAGGAAAAAACAAAATAGAAAAAGGAAAAGAGAAAGTACTATCAGTGAGTAAGGGGCAGTTTTTAAGAGAAAAAAGGGGAAAATACTGAAGTTATAAACTCCACTACAGAGATAGATAAGATGTATCTCGATATTGGATTGAATGGGGTTACTGAGGGAGAGGGAGGTATCGAGGATAACTCCTGGGTTTCGACTTAGATGGTGGTATAATTTACTGAGATATAAGGCTGGTAAAGGAACATTTTAGGACAAAAATCAGAAATCTGATAAGCTAAGTTTGCTCTTCCTATGAAGCATCTGATAGGATGTCTTTTGGATTTTTAAAAATTTTTGCCAGAAATGTGTCTATTACATAATGTCTACTTTATTTCTGAAGAATGAGTGCTTTGATTTACCAAGTGTTATTCTTTTTCCTTAATTTATGATTTTATCTTTATTTCTTCTATTTTTATTTTCTAACTTTATTGAATATGTAGCTTATTACTTATTTTTTAATTTATTAATTTATTTGGCCACACCACACGGCTTGTGAGATCTTAGTTCCCTGACAAGGGATTGAACATGGGCTCTCGGCAGTGAGAGAGAGGAATCCTAACCACTGGACTGCCAGGGAATTCCCAAGATAACCATTTTAAAAAGTCTGGTATGTATCCTTCCACATCCTTTTTGATATATTTATATAGGAACTTATATTTGCAATAAATGGTTTTGCTGCTCTCAGAACCATACTCTGTATCTTGCTCTGCAATTGGTTTAAAAAAATACATCTTAAATATATTAGCATATATTTTAGTTGTTTAAACTCAGCTTTCATTGTGATACAGGTCTAAATATGGTTGTCTTTTCATTTATTTTTACCTGGTATTTCATTAACCCTTTAAATCTGAGAGTTGAAATTAACTTTTAAATTCAAAATTTCCATCAAATTAGTAAATTTTCTTCTATTATATCTTTGATTATTGCTACTCCTCAGTCCTGTTACTACCTTCTGAACTCATATTTGATTCCCAGTTTTCTGGATCCATTCTCCATGTCTCCTTCATCTCTAAATGTGTGTGTGTTCGGTCATGTCTGACTCTTTGTGACCCCATGGGGTGTAACTCACCAGGCTCCCTGTCCATTGGAATTTCCCAGGCAAGAATACTTGAGTGGGTTTCCATTTTCTACTCCAGGGGATCTTTCCGATCAGGGATTTAATCCGAATCTCCTGCGTCTCCTGCATCGGCAGGCAGATTCTTCTTTTTTTTTTTTTGGCAGGCAGATTCTTTACCACTGAGCCACGTTTCTATTACATTTCCCCTCTGAATTCTGGTAAATTTTTTTGAGCTGGTTTTAACTTTTGTCATATCTCATCTACAGTTCACTGAAACGGCTACATTAATTTGGCGATCATGTTTTTCCTAGGGAAGCTTTGTTCACACTTTTCATCTCTAAAAAAAACACTGTTCCAACATCCTGTCCAATTTCACTGTGATATCAAATTAGTTTTAAACATTTTTTCCTATTCCTTTCATGTTTTTAAAGACTGCCATGCCATTTGCTCTGTCCACTCCAGTCATTCCCCTTCTTTTGCTGTCTACTGACTTTTTCCATCTGGAAAAAGTGCCTTCTGGAGGAGAAGGGTCTGCCACCTAATAGTAACTGAATAAATTGTCAGATTGTTTGCATCTTTTATGCCCACTCAGTCTAAGGAGTAATTAGTAACTATTCTTTGATGGTGAAGAGGTCCGATAGGCTGTGTGCCACTGTGAAGGAGCAAAAGGTGGAGGAAAGCAGTCTTGCAAGAGGGAGTTTCACCAGCTCTGAACACAGGCTCAGGAACAAACAGTAAAGTACCAGTTACATTTTAAAGATGAAAACAAAAACAAAAAGAAATCAACCTGAGATCCAGGAAAGTCAAGTGATTTTTCCAAAACTTCACAGTGATATACAGCAAATTCCCAAATCGCTTCACCACACCTCCTGACTTATTTCCACACAACCCTACCCTCAGCAAGAGCCATCTATACCGTATTTTTAAAAAAAAAAAAAACGGAGGTTTGGGATATAAATTGCCAAAAAAAAAACTTTTGAGTCTCTGGTCATTATCCATTGTTTCATCCTGGGCAATTTGCTATGGTCGTGACATTCAGTTCCATCACCTTTAAAAAAAAAAGGGGGGGGACACAACAGTAACTACCCTCCAAGATCTTGAAGGTCCCAAAGTAAAAGCTCGATGCACCAGTCCGGGCCTGTGGCGAAGAGACCCTGGCCTAAGACGAATGGAGAAGGCCCGGACAGACTCCGAGCCCCATGCCGGCACCGGTGTCCTCGACGGCCACCGCGACAGCAAAAGGAGCCACCGCCGCAAACGCTCGCCTCGCTCGGCCAGCCTCGGCCGGGCCTGACCTCACCTCACCTCCCGGGGGCCGCGCCTCCAACTCCAGCCTCAGCGCACCTTCCCGACCACACCTCTGCGCACGCGCGGCGACCGCCGGCCCCGCCCAGGTTGGCGGCCCGGTTGTTCCCTCTGGAGCGACCGAGCGTGCGTTCGGCGCTTTTCCTCCCTGTGCGGCCACCGTCGTTTGGGGAGGAGAGCGGGAGGAGAGCGGGAGGGGGCGGGGAAAAGGGTGGGAGGAGGGTGAGAGCGCGCGCGCGCCGCCCGGCCGTCGTGGTTTCCTGGCTGCGCGCGCGGCGCTGGCGGAGTAGCTGCAGCTGTAGCAGCAGCCGCGAAGATGGCGGAGGGGTTGGAGCGTGTCCGGATCTCCGCGTCGGAGCTGCGAGGGATCCTGGCCACTCTGGCTCCACAGGCCGGGAGCAGAGGTGAGTCGCACCGCCCAGCTGCTGGGCCGGGCTTGCCCGCCCCGCCTCCCTCCCCTCCTTTGCCTCCTCCCCGGTCGGTCCGCGGCGCTCCGGAGCCCCCGCCCCTTCCCCCAATAGTGGGGGCGGGGGCCGAGGGCGGGGCGGGCCCTCCCCTGTCTACCAGTCCGAGAGCCGGTGCGGGGTCGGGCTCCGCCGGCTCAGGCCCCTCCGGGAGAGCCCAGCCCGGGTTCCTGTCTCCGCCCCCTTTCTCACGGCGAAGGTGACTGTTCCCCATTGCCCCGGCCCTCTCACACCAGCCCGTGGGTTCCCAGCTATCGGGGGAAGCGACAAGTAGTTGGGCGCCGGGGCCTGGCGGAGGAGGCCCCCGGAGTGTATGGTTCCCCGAGGAGTCAGCCGCAGGCCTGCCCCGTCTTATTCCCCCTTGGAGAGTAGGGACTGGAGACCTGGAGAAGAAAAGGTTCAACAGCTTGGTATTTCCTTGCTGAACTTTTTCCCACAAGACAGGCTTCTGAAGGCTGCGCCACCGGGGGGATCCAGGATCTCAGAAAGCTGTACTCTGGTTTGGCCTTGGCATGTGTGGGAGCAGTTTTTTGTTTTTTTTTTAAATCCGAGAGAATGTCCAACTTGCAAATTAAAGTCTCAAGCCACACCGGGAAAACACCGGGGAAGATTGTAGTGTCTCACCTCTTCTTGGTTAAGTCAGGGGAGTTCGTTTAGGAATGGTAGTTCTGTTTCTGCAGACTTATGGCCGAAGTTTGTGAAATTGGTTTTCTTTGGCTATCTGAATTGGATTATTCGGGTTGTTTTCTCTTTCCTCGTTGGGAAGTGGTAGTGATTCTTCTCCACCCCCCACCCCCTCCCCACAACTTAGAAAGGTTACTGAGGGTCAGTTATTCTGGAGTTAAACTGCTTTACCTTTATTCAAAGTGAATGAAACAGTCTTTTGACTTTTGGAAAATACTGAAGCGGTATCTTAAACTTAAGGGTTTTGGGTTATTTTTTTTCAAGTTTGTTACACCCATGGGTGTAAATACTGGAGCATGTGACCCCTGTTAGGAGCTTGTTTGCACTGGTGTTAACAGAACAATACTAGAATTTTCTATAGCATTCCATTTTGAGTACTCTATAATCTCACTAAGTCCTGGTTCTTCCCCCGCTGGACAGGTTAGTGGCGATTTACAGTTGACTCTCCCCTTAACAGCTAAAGGTAACCGATCAGAAAATTGATACTTGCTTATCTGTCATTCTGCAAGTTCCTGGAGCCTGGAGAGTGGTTTCTTAAGTCCAGCTTTCTTCTTCTTCAGTGCCCCAGTCCTTGGTGTTTGGAGAGCATGTCACAATACTTCCATCATCCTCCAGGGAAAGCTCCTTTATGGAACTTTTTCCTTCTCATATTCCATCATCATAGTAGCAGTTAGTCTCAGTATTCTAATGATGCTAGTCTGAGTAGTGTTTCCTTGAAATGACTCTACTGGCTGCTGTTAGAGAGTTAGTGAGCATGAGTGGAGATGAAGAATGTGAAAGGAACTGCTTCCTGTTTGCTTCAACCGGAGGTATGCGATTGGGTAGTTGAAAGCCTTAAGAAGAGGATTGTCCTGGCCAAGTTCAGTGACTGGAGTTGCAAACTTTTTCTCCAGAGATGTCTAGAACTGTGGATTGTTATATGCATACACCTCATTTTCTCCCTCTTCCCCCATTAGTATGTTAAAAGGACTCAACCACCCCATAAAAAATGTTAAGAGGCAGAAGAGACCACAGTGGAGCTGAGAGCTCTATAGCAGAAAAAAAGTCCAATGCAGAACTGGTCAGAGATCTTTTATTATTGACAGTGATGAGGTAGTTTACGGTCTTGTGGATCTGAGTATGATTTGGGTAAAAATCAAGAGAATATGATTTTTTCCCCCCTTGTTTCCCCAGCTCAAGTGTAGGTAGCTCCAATATAGTTAAGTTTTTAGTTTTGTCAGTTGCTGAACAAATATCTTAAACCTAGTAGAATTTCCGTTTCTGCAGAAAGTTGCTTCCTTGTCCATCGATATGAACACTTGGATGTGTAATTCTTGCTTTACTTTTAATGACAGTTTTTTTCCTCTCCTTCCCCTTTATTCTTCCACCTTTTCCTCCCCAACACTCTCTCCAATATGGCAGAAAATATGAAGGAGCCCAGGCAGCGAAAAGATAACAGGCGCCCAGATCTGGAAATCTATAAGCCTGGTCTTTCCCGACTAAGAAACAGACCTAAAATCAAGGAACCCTCTGGGAGTGACGAGTTGAAGAATGAAGTTGTTAATGACAGAGATTCTTCTGCTGTTGGAAATTGTACCCAGCTCATTAAAGATGTCTGCAAAGACAACCCACAGCAAAATGGTCCTGTAGACTCAGAAAATATTCGGGCACAGGAGTCCTTTCCTCGGACTGTTGGACAAGAGGATCGAAGCCTAAGAATTATTAAGAGGACAAAGAAACCGGACATGCAGATCTATCAACCTGGGAGGCGTTTGCAGACTGTTACCAAAGAAGCCACCAGCCGAGTGGAAGAGGAAGAAATCCTCAACCAGGTAGAGCAACTGAGGGTAGAGGAAGATGAGTGTAGGGGAAATGTGAAAGAGGAGGTGGTGAACAAGCCGGACAGAGAGGAGGCTGAAAAGAGCCCAAGTGGTGACAGAGTAAGGGCTGCAA